AAACAAGTATCTTCTTGAAGTCCCTCAAATTAAGGTAAAGAATAAGAACAAATCATTCTGGAAGAACGCAAAGGAAAATAGCTTTAGATATTTAAGTGACAATTGAATTTCTTCTCATAATGGTTTTAATAGCTTTTGTATAATCTTCATCGCTATTATGAGATATAAAATGTATTTGTCAAATCTGTAATCATTATGCCAAAAAATCTGAATTACTGTAACATTTCATATATTGTTAAAACTGTAACTTTAATTGTAAAAAAAAATTAAAAATAAAAAAAAATCAAAGACACAAGGGGAAAAATTTTGTTCAAGGACTGGATGAGTCAATATTATTAAAATGTCCGTATCACCCAATATAATCCACAGATTTAATATAACAACTATTATAATAAAAAGGACATTCTTCATAAAATTAGGAAAACAATCCTAACTTTCATGGAATCAAAGACAACAATAATAAAAGAAAACAACCACCACAACCACACCAACAAAACTCCCATTTCAGAAAATCCTTTTTTAGCAAAAGCAAGCAGGACACATTAAACCTCCTGCCTGAAAACCATACTACAAAACAGTAACCAAACAGCATGGTACTAGAACGAACACAGACATACATAGGACAGCAACAAGATAGAGATCCTTGAATTAAAATTCCACATCCAGAGTCAAATGACTTTAGACAAAGTTGCCAAGAGTGCACACTTGGATCAAGTATGGTCTTTTCAATAAATGGTATTAGGTGTATGAGATATTTGCATGAACTGAACTAGATACCCTACATGTTGCCAACTACAAACCTTATCAATGTCGATTAAAGATTGAAATGAAAGATATACACATGAAAATACTATGGGGGAGAATACTTAAGAATGCATAAATGGGTGAAAATCCATTTATAATTTTGCAGAATACCCCCAAAACACAGAAAACAAAAAAGGAGAGAAAAATGTGATTACCACAAGTGAGAAGGATTCTGCTTGGCACAGAGTAAAGAGGAAAATCTACAGAATGGGAGAAAATACCAAATTACACATCTGAAGAGAGGTTGCTATCCAGACTACAAAAATAAATACAGCACAGAATAGCAAATGCCAAATGGATAATAGACATAGGTAGACATTTCTTATGAAGGAGATATATAAATTACCTACTGATATGAAAAAATACAGTGTCCTAATAATCAAAGAAATGCAAAATAAAAATTCAGTGAGATACTAACACCCTCCAGTAAGAATGCTCTCATCACAAGGTGAAAGAGAGCAACAGCTCGGAAGAATGTGGAGGAAATGGAACTCCTCCAATATTGGTGGGAACATGAATTATCACAGACACTGTGGAAAACTATATGGAGAGTTGTCAAAAAACAAAACATAAAACAATCATACTACTTAGAAAGCACAAATGAAAGAAAGGAGGAATTAGCACAGCAAAGAGACATCTACACACCATGTTCCTTGTAACACTATTCTTAGTATCTAAGAGATGAAGCAGTCTGCATCCATAAACAGGAGGATGAATAAAAAATGTAGAATATATACACCGTGGAATACTATTTATCCATAAACAAGAATTAAATGCTGTCATTTGTTACAACATGCCTAGAACTGGAAGTCAGGAGGGGAAGTGAAAAAAGTCAGACTAGAAGACACATCATGATCCCATTCATGGGTGGACTCTTAAAACTGATTTCATAGAGGTTCATCATAGCATGGTGTCTACCAAAGTCTGTAGAGAGCGTTACAAGGGGCAGATTAGGAAAGGGTGATGAATGATCAGTAGCTATTATACTGTTATAGTTAAATAGGAGCAAGAAGCTCCAGTGTGCCATTAGACATATTCTCACAGGGGGCCTCTCCAGAGATCTCTAAATGTCTATAATTCTTTCCAGATTGGCATGGATTACCCTCTGAAATCCCAGTGTACCACACCAGGGGACACAGTGCAGAACAGGCTCCATTGGGCATTATTTATTTTCTGAATGATAGTCATTGTTAAGACGTGCAGACCTTCTGGCCAACCTGAAGGTTTGCTATGAGCCTTCAACCAAGGTGAGAGAAAACATTCAAAGACAAAATCACTTTGTTTGACTTTTACCTAATAACCTTCTCATGAATTTCCTTATAGACCTCTGTCATAAACAGGCACAATCTGTGAATTGTGTGAGAGAAAAGTACTGTTATCTTGGTTTGCCTTACTTATAACAAGGAGGTAAGTGACTCTCCCAAGGTCAGAGAACAAATGTGTGGTGGTTTAGAACTTGATCTGTGTTAGTATTGTTTTCTCCTGCTGTAGCCAAGTTGAAACCACTGACTACTTCCGAAGTGTGAGCTTCTCTAAGAGCATTCATGCAACACTCCATGGTGGAATGTTATGAGTTCAGTCTGACTATTTTGGATGAAATATTTTTTTCTTACACGAAAACCCTGGTAATTCTCTACCTTCCATAACCATTTTTCTTAGAAGTATAATTAAGAAGTGGTCTACATAAGCCAATGAATTACTTGAAAAGAGATGCTTTTAAGATAGTTACAATTGCTATATGTAGTGTGAGTGTCAAAATGTCTGTCACAGTGGATTTAATGATTGATATCATAGTTCATGCCTCTTTCAACAAAATATGAATAAAACAGGATAAGAGGTCCTTCAATTTATTAGTGATTTTATATAATTCACCCGATAGTTGATTTCACTGGAAATTTTAAAAAATCACAATAAATAAAATCTGGAAGGGCAAAATACTACTTCTTCATAATGTTAAAGTGTTCAAAATAAATTACATCTCTAAAGTGCACTCCAAATCCTTTGACATTATATTATCCTTATACTTGGAGAGTAGCTTAAATGTGAAACCTTAATATATGTTTATCCAATCTTAGAAATTGAGAATATCACATAACTTCCTAAATCCTCAGTTTGCCCCAAAAGAAATAGTAATACTATCTACTTTATACACAGAGAGAGAGAGAGAGAGAGACAGACAGACAGACAGACAGACAGAGACAGAGATAGAGACACAGAGACAGAGACAGAGACAGAGAAAGAAAGAAAAGAGACAGTTACTATACAACTCCCTCATCATTGTTAAAACATATTAAAATGCTGAAATTTATCATATGAATTAATATTGGCCACCACAATTTAGTCTTCAAGGAACAGGCTCATAATTGATGTTGCCGAAAGCTTAGGGAAAGATATCAAAGAACAAACTGCAAATTCTTCTGTATGTGTCATACCAAAAAAATAAAGTTTAAGTCCTACTAGTACAACAACAAAATTATGTGTGAAATAAACACAGCCAATAAACTGGGAATTTTGACCTGTTTTCGCTGTGGAGTGGTATAATGTGGCATGAATGGAATAACACAATTTAAGAATAATGGAAAATTTTATCCAAATAAATTATGGAATTCAGGAAGATGTTTTTGAAAAGAATGACCAGTAAGCAATTTTGGGTGCTCCAAAGATATGCATGCAGTGAAAACAAACTAAGACTCATAGGAAAATATAGACAATTCCAGTGCCTCAGCACAAGAGAAAAGGCTATTTGGGGAGAAAATTTTCAAGAGTTCAAACTCACCCACAACTGAAGCCCTGCACTCAGCATTCACCGTCATCCAGATTGTTATGTTATCCCTACTGGTGATAGCATGGAGGCCAGAAATTGCTAAGCTGTGTTCAACCCCGAGTACTTCATTCTGACAGGAATACCTAAAAGCCAGTCTCTTTTTCCTTTTGAAGATGGAAATATGATATTTTGAGTAATTAAGCTACTGTAGGTGATAGATCTGACATGCATCTGTTCCTGGAACCTAAGCTCTATATCATGATATGTCTTCACTCACAATTACCTCTGCATGTTGAATACTCTCCCAACACACTTGATGCCTCACCATATCCATTACACAATTGTGTGATAATATTCAAGAATTAAAGCCTATACCACCTTATAAAAAGTTTATGTTTAGCCACATCATCAATATGTATATGTGTACTGGTATTAACAAACATGAACAAGTGTGCGTAGTGCAATTAAATGCAATGGAGAGCTAATTAATTCATTTAAGACCTTTTAGTGCTTAAGAAAAAGACCAGGCCATTAAGAATTTTTGGTTATTTGGTTGCTTTACCTCTATGAGAGTCAAGTGTGTAGTAAACAAGATGAAACTACTACCTAGTCTACCACTCAGTTCATGCTGATTAAATCAAAGAAGCCAGCTTCATTGGAAATTATATTAAATTAAATTCAGTTTATACCATTAGAATTAGGAACCATTTTTGATGAGTTGAAAGTTGAAAAGGATCCAGGACAGAAAATGGTGAGACATATTTAAACATGTGAGTCATTTTCTCTATCTCATGTACTTTATAATTTACATAAATGTAGCAGCAATCAAAATAATATATTTTGAGGCAAGAACCATGAATGTTTCTAAAATAGTTCTTAGAAAGTGAGAAATATGGAAATGTTAGTTTTACTGAGCTCAGGATAATTGAATTGGCAGATAGATTTATCCAGGCAAGTCACTTTGGTCATAATATTAAATTATCTGCATTTTAGCCAACATATTTCTGTAGAGAATCAATTAAAGACTGTATGATTCAATAGCATGGAGCTTTGTTCATAAAGAAACATCAAATTTGGTTTTCAAGCCCATGTTTTTCTGGAATATCATGAAGCACAAGTTGTTGCCAGTATAAAATATGTACATTGTACTTACACTGTCCAATTTCAGTTAAATTTATAATTCTGTTCACTTTTGGTTAAAGACCACTGATGGAGAACAGGACAGAAGTGACACAGTTCATCCTGCTGGGACTCACTGATGACCCAGGCCTACAGGTTCCTCTATTTATCACCTTCCTCCTCATCTACACCATCACCCTGGTTGGGAACCTGAGGATGATCCTGCTGATTCTCTTGGACTCTCGGCTCCACACTCCCATGTACTTTTTCCTAGGTAACCTGTCTCTGGTGGATTTCTGTTACTCTTCAACAGTTCCCGAAAAAGTTATAGCTGGGCTACTTATAGGAAACAAGGCCATGACTTACAATTCCTGTGCTACTCAGATGTTCTTTTTTGCGAACTTTGCCAATGTGGAAAATTACCTACTGGCCTCAATAGCCTATGATCGCTATGCAGCAGTGTGTAAGCCCCTACACTATGCCACAACCATGACAATGTGTGTTGGGTCCTGTCTGATCATAGGATGCTACACCCTAAGTCTCCTGAATGCCTCCATTTATACTTGGAATGCATTTCTTCTCTCCTTCCATAAGTCCAATGTGGTCCATCACTTTTTCTGTGACATTCCAGTAGTCATGTTTGTATTTTCCTAGGTAACCTGTCTCTGGTGGATTTCTGTTACTCTTCAACAGTTCCCGAAAAAGTTATAGCTGGGCTACTTATAGGAAACAAGGCCATGACTTACAATTCCTGTGCTACTCAGATGTTCTTTTTTGCGAACTTTGCCAATGTGGAAAATTACCTACTGGCCTCAATAGCCTATGATCGCTATGCAGCAGTGTGTAAGCCCCTACACTATGCCACAACCATGACAATGTGTGTTGGGTCCTGTCTGATCATAGGATGCTACACCCTAAGTCTCCTGAATGCCTCCATTTATACTTGGAATGCATTTCTTCTCTCCTTCCATAAGTCCAATGTGGTCCATCACTTTTTCTGTGACATTCCAGTAGTCATGTTTGTATCCTGCTCTGATAGGCATGTCAATGAGCTGGTTCTTATCTGTCTTGCAAGCTTCAATATCTTTTTTGCTCTTACAGTAATCTTTATATCCTACACAGTCATTTTTATCAACATCTTAAAGATACACTCTGGTGCAGGTCATCGCAAGGCTATTTCCACCTGTGCCTCCCACTTCACTGCAGTCTCCATTTTCTACGGGACTGTCATCTTCGTGTACTTAAAGCCCAGCTCCCGTCATGCCATGGACATTGACAAAATCTCATCTGTCTTCTACACAATGGTCATTCCCATGTTGAATCCTCTGGTTTACTGCCTGAGGAACAAGGAGGTGAAGAACACATTTACAAAGATTGCAAAGATTGTATTAAGAGGAAAATAACCCTTACAGTTTGGCCCTTAACTTCTTGGGATGCATAACACCTGGATTCATTACTCTCATCCTAACTCTATCTACTGTCACATTTACCAACCCACACTAAATTCAAATCCTGATGTGAAATCTTTACCTCTGCAATAGTATATTCGCTTTCAAAAAGGTAACATTTTGTCCAAAATTGTAAAACCCAAATAAGAATGTCTATAATATGTTTGAGTTTGCTTGTGGAAAGCCCAGCAAACTGTATTATTGTGTTCAACTGTTTTCCATGCAATATTTTTCTGTCACATCAATGAAAACATATGTAAGCAGGTTTAAAAAGAGGCCCATTAAACAGCAGACATCTTTCTATGTGTCTTCTGAAGAATTATACAAATGGATGTCAGAAATTTACTAGAATAAGTTGTAACATGAATATTTCTATTATGGGATTAAATTTTGTTCATTTAAAAGGACATACCCATATCTACATCACAGAACACTTTGACATTTGCATCTGTGAGGTTGTATCCAAAAGAAAGTGCTATTTGAAGCAATCCAACTTAGGAAGATCTGCCTTTATCATTCAACACACTGTGGGCTCACCTGGATAGAGCATAAAGTCACATTAAAGGAATCATCTCCTTTTTAAAAATGTTATTAAAAGACACTTTCTTTCTCCCTCTCTCTCTCTGCTTTCATTTCTTCCATTTATAAGACATATACTAGTTCTATTTTGTCTTCTTCATTCTCAGATCTTTTACCTTAAGTTGAGTTATTCAACACACAGATGGCTTAGCATAGGTCCTAGTGACTTTCCAAACCTCACGAGCTGATATCAAAAAATAAATCCACAGAGCTAGGGAAACGATTCAGTACATAAAGTGCTTGCTGTGCAATAATAAAGACATGAGTTTGGATCCCCAGCACCTGTGTGAAAGCAGAGAATGGTGGTGTGTGTCTGTGACCTCACAACTGAATGGTCAACACCACAGGGGTATCACTTCAACCAGGTAACTAATGTAGCAAAAACATGGACCAAGATAACAACTTCAGACTTCTGTTAGGAATATAGATGAGCACAGCCACTATCAATAACTGCAAGGTGCTCCCGACCTAATACTGAGTGAAAATTCAAAAGAAATTAAATAAGTACAGAAAAGAGGCATGCACCCTGCATGTTCCTTGTAGCCATATTCACAGTATTCAGGAAATGGGAAAATCCTAAATGTTCATCAGCTGATGAAGGAAATATGGTACTCCTGTAATGTATATAACATAAACTAATGATACATAAAAAGATCCCATGATTTATAACAACATGAATGTGACTGGAGTTCATTATGGTTTGAGTAGAGATTGGGATGGGACATGTGGAAGATGAAGGAGCAGGGAGAGAGTGTTAAATAAAATGAAGGGTGCATAAAAAAGCTGTATGGAAACCTACTTGTTTTTAAGCCAATTAAAAAGCATAAGCTACAATGGAAAAAAAATAGAGGGTAGATGCCCTGTAACACTGGACAATGCTGCTCCAAAAAGCCACAGTTATTGAACAAAATTCCCAGTAACAGGTGTGGGATATGGTATCATGAATTGTTGGTCAGAGAAACCCCAGAAGCCTCTCACACACAAAAAAAATTCTAGACTCTAACCATTCTTCTTGGTTGCCCACCAGAACTAGTTGCTGAAACCCTATTGTTGAATATAACACACATATGTATTACAACATGCAAAGAAATCAAGTTGGAATTGAGCTGGAAGCCCTGCTGATTAGCTTTCATGGTTCTTGAAGGTGCTATGCAGAGTGCTGGGTCTATCCCAGCTGTGACCTCCCAGGCAAAATGCGCCCAATGATGCAACAGTGGCATGGCTTGTATGGGAGGAACCAACAACTGTATGCTTGGTCTAAAAGCCTGCTCCACAGAGGGAATTCATACCTGGTACTATAAATCTGATCAAACCCCATGACTGAGGAGGTCTTAGGCCCTAGGAGTGACTTACTGCTACTGTTTAGCTAAATTAACACTGTGCCAAACTACCTTCTAGATATTTATGTTTATATGAATAGGAAAATACTACTATCCACCTTAATCAGAAAAGCTTCTCTGCAATGAATGGTGTGGTGAGTGTGGAGACTAGTGGCTGCTCAAGGTGTTAAGAATAAATGTTGACTGAGGGCTAAGCCCTAGACAAGCAACGCCCTCAAAAATTCAGAGAGCATTACAGCAGAGGAAGCAGAATAAATGTAAGAGCCAGAAGATCTGGAGAAAGACTGTTAAATGCTATCTCCAGAGCATGACACAGCCATTGCAATTAAGGTCTTCCAGTCTCTATGGCTGCCAGTACTGAGCCTGCAGGAGACTGGGCTTGTTAAAATAATTCTAAATAAGGGAAAGGCTCACAGTACCCTATCCCTCCCTAATGAACTATTGGCTACTGCTGAATTCCATGGAAGGGACTCTAATATTCTTCAATATGTACTCACTGGTGAGCTCACAAGCTCCAATGGATAATACCAAACCCAAGGTCACATAAGCAGGCATCGTTAAAATCAATGGGTCATAAAAGGATGAGTGTGTGAGAAAGGGACTTCTAAAGAGGGAGGTGACAGAGGGTGGGAAGGAGGTAAGAGAGTGTAGAGGCTGAGAGCAAATGCATTATTGAATTGGCATGGGTCTTGTGCTCAACAACACCATTGCTGCAAGTTTACATGTTCAAGCTTCCATTGACCTGAAAGCCTCTCTTTCCCTATGCTCATGAGCTGAACCTGGCTCTTAAAATCTTTCTGCCCCATCTTAATATAGGAGTCCTATCCAGGAACACACACCATTGCAGCCCTCTGTATGCATTACACTGTTGTGTAAGGAAGCTTCACTGGTGAGAGCTGAGAGATTCACTAGTATTCTCTCCACTCCCTGTTCTGCTATGTTCCATGAGCCTTAGGTGTAGAGGTTTCCCCTGCAGATATGTCGCCTAGGACTTGGCATTTCTCAGATATATTCTCTGTGTCTAAGCAGGTGTAGAACTCTGCAGTAGCCTCCATCTGTTACAAAAAGAAGCTTCTTCAATGAGTGGTATATAATGTGCTTGTCAGTGAATACAAGGACCCATATTTAGCGTATGGTAAGAAATTTCATTTGTCTAGTTATGACAGAGATAAGGTTTTCTCTAGGATCTATGACCTATTCAGCCATGTGTGTTTTGTTGTGTTTACAGTGCCACCCATGAGTTCACTCCCAACTGTTTTTTGAACTGATGATTCTGCTCATTATGTACTTGAATAAATTTTTCAAAGTACAAATTTAATGAGTTATAAAAAGGGAAGAAAAGAAACATCACCTAACTCCTCATATATATATAATATTTATGTTTTTCATTGGTCAGCTATAACCTGTAATTTAAAATGCAATGTCCTAATTTGGTTGCTGCAGGCAGGTAAATTGCTTTTTCCCTAGGAAGCTAGATGAGGAGCTTCAGGTATTTACAGAGCAGAAATCTCTAGAGCTCTCCAGATCTGCATAATTCCCTCCAGATCTCCTTGCATTGGCGTATGAAATCCCAATATGACTCCACTTCACTTTGCTTTAGAAAGGACATCCTGCAGGCTGTGAATCATTGGATGTCATTTATTTATCTGAGTGATAATCTATTAGTAACCAAAGGCTTTCTTCTGACCTGAGGATTTGTTATGAGCCTTTAGTCACAAAGAAAGAAA